CTCCGCAGTCGCGTGGGCAGAGCAGAGCTTTGCCATCCCAGAGCTGGTCTTGTGGCCTCCCCTGTCACCAGCTGGCAGAAGGAGCGAGCCTGGTGATTTTGATTATTTTTGCATCCCAGCTCCTGTCTTCCACACCAGGAGCAGCAGCAGCAGCCTGCTCAGCTTTCCTGCCCAGCTGCCCACTTTCTACGGGAAGCATGGAAACATGTTGGAAAACACAGATGAGACAGTTGCACACCAGGGGGATCAGATGGTATTTACCCAAGAGGTGTAAAGGAACTAAAGTAAGAGTGTTTAACTAACTGTGCAGTCTGTAACCTGGTGCTTCAACTTAGATGATGGCAAGCAGGCTCAGCAGAACTGGCGTTGCAGACAGGGATTATTGCACTGAACCGATAGTAAAGGCAAGAGCAGGGAGTCCAAAAAGTACAAAACACTCTGCAGTTGGAAGATGTGTTTCATAGGTCTGCTTTGAAGGAGGCAAGAAGTTTTTTGGATAAGGGTAATTGCTTGATTTAAGTTCATTTGAATTGCCAGAAGGTCAGGTTGGACGGGGCTCTGAGCAGCCTGATCCAGTTAGAAGATGTCTCTGCTCACTGCAGGGGGGTTGGACTAGATGGCCTCTAAAGGTCCCTTCCAACCCAACCCATTCTATTCTATGATTTTGTGACTTTCTCTATGATTATAGCTTGTCCTGTTTGTCTAGAATTCCTTTCTCATAGCCAGCTCAGGAGGAAGGGATGAGCAGAAAGCGGGTTTCCTAGTGGGCTAGACTTAACGCCAAGTCCTCAGGTGGCCGAGAGCAGCGTCTGTATTTGAAGCAGCCCCTGGCTGTACTGCTTTGCCCTGGCTGCGTTTGAAGTCTCTGTGATTTCAAAGAGAGCATTGCTTTCGGCTCTAGCACCTCTGCAGCTCTCATGCCAACAGAGGCTGCAGGAGGAGGGAGCAGTGTAGGATGCAAAAGCTTCAGCTCACTGGTACCCCAGGTATGGCAGCCCCATCTCTGCCAAAACCTGGACCCAGGCTTCCTCCCAGCTTACAACGTTGCTGTCAATCCCAATGGGAGCTGCAGCTGAAGAGTGGGGATGGTATCCAGACTTAGTTGGACATCTTGGCAAGTAGGAAAAATAAGAAAGAAAGGAAGTGCAATGTCTTGTGAAAGTTAGCTCAAGCCTGGTTTTCTGTGGAAAAATAGTGATTGTGGTAAAATAGGAGCAGTGGGTTTTTTCTGGAGATAAATCTCTTCTTTTTTCATTGAAAATGTTATATTTTTGCCAAAAGCTGCAATTTATGTTTTTTTACATTCAAGTGATAGTTTAGCAGTACAAAATTACCAATTTTTTTTTTTTTAGTTTATCTACGTTTTCTGGAAAAAACCAGCACGTTGCTTTAGAGAAGCTCTGACTTTGTGGCATAGATTTATTCCTTTAGTAATTTCCACCAAGGTGTTTCTGCTTTGTTTCTCTTTTTCTGTTGCTTAACTAACCTTTGGGACTTTGTACACTGATTTGGTGATGGTGCTAATGTTGGGACTAATCTAATTTCATTGTGACATCTAAGTTATACAGCTAATATTTACCAATAATTGGAATAACTTTTCTTTTATTCATTTTTCAAGGACATAGCAACAGCTCCGCCTCCTTATGCAAGAATCTTAGTCCATTGACCTCAGTGTCATTGGACCAAACGCTGTATGAGAGCTTGCTGCAGCAACACATCCTAGTGTCAGATTAGGACAGTCTGACCTAAAAATCAGACTTCTCTGGAAGATGCAGAGACTTATTTGCAAAATACGGAGATGTGTTGCATAAACATTTTACTTTGGGCCACAGGATATAGCCATCGCACATTTGTAAACACTGTTTTTCTCATTCTTAGGTTACAAAAGATGAATTTTTGAACTACTACTCTGGAGTTAGTGCTTCTGTGGACAGTGATGCCTACTTCATTTTGATGATGAAGAAATCCTGGAAACTCTGACTTCTGCTTTCATCTGCCCCAACTTCTTTGAGACCAGAGACTACAAAGAAGTGAAACACTGTTTAGTTTGTTGTGGGCCTGATTTTTTTTTCCCTGTCTGAGCGACATTTTCGGAGCTGCACGACTTGATGACGCCAGCACGTGTCCCAGTGCTGGGCTCTGACATCTGGCTTCGTGTTTTCAACAGGTGGCGCTTAAAAGCCAAGGAACAGCCACCCGAACTGAAATCTGCAGCGGCCGCGTGAGCAAAGGGGTGGGATAGTCGGTGTAAATCAGCAATTGCATTTCCTGGCATCGTCAGTTGTTTTCTGGTGTGTCTGTACATTAGATTTGTTTTGCCAATGTCCTGTTACAGACAGGATTGCTAATTCAGCAGGCTTCGTGATCACAGTTAATAAGGAACTCTTTGTTTGACCCAAAAATAATTCTTCACAGAGATGGTGAGGCTCCTTTATGTTACATCTTAGCTGGTTTTAAAGGATAGCTTCAGAAACCCACAACCAAAGAGACAACTAGCTTGAGCCAAAAGCATATTGGCTAAAAAACAGCTACTGTTCCCCCCAGGGCTGCAGCATTGCTGCATAAATACAGCCCTTAAAGTCAGTAAACACTTTTGCTAAGAAGCCTAGAAGGGGCTGAACGCCTGCCCTGCAGAAATAACCTGCCAGCATCACCAGGTCCCTTGCTGCCAGAAGGGATGACTTCATGGTCAGCCTGTGCCTGCCTAAAACTGCCCCAAATTCAACCAGGTGTCCCTGTGGCAGTGGTGGCCAGGCCACCCCTTCGCTGTTTATTTCATGGCCTAGGCTTCACTGCACATCACCTGTATTTAACCATCCCTTCTCCCTGGCAGAAGCAATTCCCCTGCCTCCCCACGCTTAGCCGGTCTTCGACCACCCCACTGACATGCACAGCATCTTCATGTGTTTTATCCGCCTGTCTAATGAACGTGCACAAGAGGATGAGATTTGGTAAACAAACTAATATATTCAGCAGGGGACAAGTATCGCCTTGGGAGGTCATTAACATTTTTCAGCATCATTAAAACTAGACTGTGACTCAGTGTTGCAACCGACAAAAGACTTACTCTATTTCACGGATTAGCTTTCGTGTGCCGCTAGGAGATGTTTGCACAGTGCAAATGAGCTGCGCATAGACGAGGGGAGAAGCGAAGACAGGGGAGCGGCTGCGCTATACGATGGGTGCAGAAGAAGCGTCGGAGCCTGATGGTTACGTGCGGAGAGAGGAGCAGGCAGCCCCGGGCACAGTCTCATAAAGCAGCAACATAGAAACCAGGGTCACCAACATAGAAACCAGGGTCACCAAGCTCTTTTCGTGTGTGCCACTGAGTAAGAGCACAGGAGGCAGAAAGTGTGGAGGAGGAAGGTTGTGTAAAGGAGGCGCATGGAGTATGTGAAAGCTGAACTATACCCCTGTGCGGATGTTGAGTCAGATGGGAATTTGTGAGCAGCTGTGGGGGAAATTCTGTCTCGTAGAATAAGGAAACTGCTTCGGTCCTGACCTGGTGAAGCGTTGTCAGGACATAGCTGTGGCTGTTATCTTCATATATGTACTATGCATCTAAAAGCTGGCCGTGGACCAGAAGTGCTTGTGATGCTTCTTGCTTTGGTGCACATCTGGATTTCTGTTTTTCCGAAAGGAAGCTGAAAGGTTTCATATGTGTATACACTCATCAAATTTATGTTGATGGCTATACAATCGCATAAGATGTTCAGGGATGCTGATAATAAGACTGCTTAAATATTGGTACTCAGCACCTGCCAAATAGCCAGGGACGAATTTTTCCAAAAGACTTCACTCCCACAGTTCAGGTGGGATTGCCAAAGCTGAAGGAACTGCTAGCCTCCGCACGCTTCAGAGCAGCCCAATCCCCAGACAGAGTTACCTCAGAGGAGCTTAGCGCTTCTGAAAGTTCAGCCTGGCAGGACTTGACTGAACACCGTTGTAATGACCCAGGTGTCGGCACTGGCTTAGCAGCAGTTAGATGTGGTTCAATGAACAGGTCTTACGGCTGTTTCTGGGAGCAGGGTCCTCAGAAACCTTAATGCTAAGCTGTAACCCCGCCTCCGCCTCCCCGATTTGACTGTGCTCACTGCTGCTCTCCTGGAAAGGAACGCTTCTGGGTAGGCTTCATCATTTGCCCAGGTGCACACCTGGAATAAAGTAACCCCCGTGTCTGACATGAATTAGCCTATATCCCCCACTGAGAAAAACTGCATTGGAATGAACGTAATTAACAGAAGGCTGCTCTGTTTTCTATCAGTTCCGTATTTGTCAGCATTCAGCAGTGTCATAATGAAGGACCATCTCTGAGGACACAGCCTTTGCCTTACTGTACACATACCTACACTATTGCAAGCTTGTGGTTTTTTTTTTTTTTTCTTTTCTGGTGCTCGTGGTGTGGACTGATGGCTGCACACATGAGCTTGGGAAAAGCCTCCGGCTCGCCTGAGCAAGTATGAGCCTTTGGCAGGAGATTGGCTTCACCCACCTGATTTCCAGAGCTGTTACCTCTGTTACTGGAGTCAGGATGAACAAAGGCATGCCCAGTCCGAAACATAGGGATTAGAGCTGCAGGGAAGCTTCCCTGGCTCTCAGGGTGGCGGTGATGAATGGAGGGCGATGCTTGCTGTTATCATGCAGCGCTTCCAGACCTCTGAGCTGTCCAGATTTATTTGGGATTTATCCTGCCTAAAGCTGGGCAGAGCCCATGGAGTTATCCAAATTCCAGTGAGGGCAGAATAAGTCCTATCCTGATAGATGTATATTAGAAGACTGAATTAAAGCAGCATAAACAGGTCATGCAAATAGCCACACCCTTTTAATACAGTAAACAGATTATAAAACCAAGGTTGCATGTTATCTAATTAAATAATAAGACATAGAAGTAGAATGAATGTTTAAACATTAGCAGCTATGCAAAAATATGAGTACTACATGGGAAAAATATAACTATTTCAGAGTGATTAAAGTAAATATGTTTCTACTACTTTTCCCATACTAAAGAGCAAACATCAGGTTTCTACTATTTTTCCTGTATTAAAGAGTAGTATACCTTTCTGGATAAACAGAAAGACTATTATTACATGTGGTTATCTTACTGCTTAAATAGTGCAAATAGACATTTGTTGTTTCCCTTGTAATCCTTAAAAATGTGTGCGTGAGTTTGAAACAAGCATAGCACATACTGTACAGGATTTTTCTGATGCGCTTTTGCTTCGTCCGCTACTTCCTTTTTGTTCGCCTCTGTGTTACTGGAGGAGGATCTCTTTCCGGCACAGTCTGCCTACATCCACAATCACACTGTGCAACTCAGCACAGTATGAGCATTACCAGCAGCTCTTTTTAAAAAGAAATTCAAGCATTACAAAGCAAATGAATGTCCAGGGCTTTCATCCTTTTCTACTGCATTAATCAATGTTTCATCTGACGAGAAACAGCAATAAAACTCATTCTGTAAAATATCACTGGAATACCTTGAGCCAAATCCTCGGCCCCTTTGCATGCAGGGACTGTAAGGTTGTTCCCATTTGAAGGTTTCCCTGTTGTCAGGTGGAGGCAGAGAAGGTGGAGTACTGTTTTGGGACTGCTGTTTTTCCCCAGCAGGCTACATCAACTATAGCAACATCTCAGTGATTTTTACCAGTCAGAAAAATTTCAAGCAGCTCTGAGGGTGTGGGAGGACGCTTTTTGCCCTTCGGCTCTGGGGATGTGAATACATTTCAGTAAAGGAGAATTTCAAGCGGCTAGAGGAACTGAGACTGCACAGTGAGGTGAACCCCAGTCCCAGAGCGCAGCAGAGCAGCTTGGATTTCCCATGGCCACACCTCGGTAGTCATGCAACCATGTGGCTGTAGCAGCTTTATCTCCAAGCACATGCTCTGCAATGCGCGGCATCCCCAAGGGACCGTGGCGTGGTTCAGCCATCTCTGTGTGTCAGCATGTGGGGAACCCCTTAGAGCCGGGCAGGGAGTCCAGAGAAAGGTGAATGGGAAGGGACAGGATGCCTTCCTCCATCATAACATTAAAAAAACCCAACCAAACAAACAAGCTATCTCCAGGCAATTTACAAGGTACTTTTTAAAAAGAGTAGGTCTTCTGATCCTGGCAGGATCCATGACGCTTCATCCATCTTCCAAGGTCAGATGTTGCATGAGAACATTGCCTGGCCAAATTCAAAGTATTCTCATGAAGTCACAGCCATTGGGAATAATGCTAGTAAACAAACACAGTCTGCTTAGCCCTTCTGTCCTGGAAAGTACTTACATGCTACACTAATGTTTCCACAAGAGCTGCAGAGAAAGACAACATCATGCATTTTACAGTCCCTATTCAGTTTATAGGAAGAGATGGGACTTTGCTTTTCATTGATTTTGTTTTGTTTTCTTAGCTAAACATTGCTAGTACATGAAATAATGACGATCTTTAATATATAGCTCTAGCAGAAGTACCTGTGGATCCTGAAATTGGCTCCAGGGCAGATCTTTATCTGTCTCTCAAAAAAGAAGAAAAAAAAAAAATAAAATCAGTCTGAGAAAACATCTTCCTGAAGTGAGTCCATGTGACTTTTCTCCTGGGGGCTCAGCAAACTCCTTGTGTGGTGACCAAGCTCCTGAAACCCCAGGCAACTAATGCTTGATGGCAATTCTCATTTACTGGCGTTTTGGAAACTTGTGGACTTCCACTGACTGCAGAGGAGTTACTCTTGACCTACCGCTGTGTAAAAGAGATTGGGTTCTATTTAACTTGAATTTGTTGCCATGTTTCTTGCTTAGGCATTAATAAGAACTTAAGTCTGCAACCAAGAGGTTAACAGAAGAGTTCATTAACTTCCGTGAGACATGCTGTGGTCCTCAGCTAGGACTGCAGTGTCATTGCTCTAGATTAATCAGACCTGAAGGTTTAAGCCAGGTTGAATTAAGTTTGATTTCTGATGCAGTGGAGATTGCTACTGGCATACTGAGAGCTGAGGTTAGGCCACTTATCACTGAAATGTGGGAGAACCCACTTCCTTGCAGGTATAGCGTCGCACAGCTAGCAGGGTGTGTTGCGGAGGTGGGGACTCACAGGACGCAGGAAAACAAAACAAAGCTTCAGGGTCCTGCTTGTGTCAGAGAAAAGAGTATGCTGTCATTCCTGTAAGGTTTACTGAATTTTGTAGAAGCTAGACATTGTGACATAGGCTTCCTCGTTGTTCGGTGGCCTGATTTCACTGGTGGGCAGGGTCTGGGATACGGTGTCACCATTTAGGGGCTCTGGTCTGGGCTGGCCAGAGGGATCTGGGGGAGGAGCGGAGGGAAGGTTGAAGCCATCATCGCACAGCGGCACCCTGTTGCTGTGGCACACCTCGTACGTGCTGGGGCTGCAGTCTCCTTCGGTGACTGTGAACTGGCGGGTGCCCAGGAGTCTGTGCAGGGCTTCAGCTGGCCAGATTCCTCCGTAAGTCACAGACAAGTTTAGGTTGCTTTTGTCTGTGATAGCAGGGATCGTCTTCAGGTCTGATCCATTCCTAAATTTTTCTGGAAGGTTTGTCTCTGGAGCAGCTGATGGCTGCAGAAAAGTTTCCAGTTCAGCTTTTGCTCGAATGGCGTCCACTTTATGGATATGAACATTACCAAAACTCTCTGGGTTAAAACTTATATCAAAATTCTGCATGGCAAAGGGAACAGCACAGTCAGTTAATAGTGGGTATTAGCTTACGAGAAAAGATACTTTGATAATTCATTTGATTTTAGAAGGGTATTTATTATTTCTTTAACTCTGAAAGTAACCCTCAGCAGGCTGAATGATAGATTAACAGAAAATAAACTGCCCCATGGCTTAAAATCCTTTTCCATATTAATCTGGACCTATCCAGTGGCCTCTTGCAGGCAGCACCACTGGTGAGCATTTCATGCTCTGCACAATGTGGTGGGAACTGACGTTTCAGGGACTTTTCTGGGCCACACACCTACTGCATGCCTGCCATTTCACAGGAATGAGTGTGCCAACCCAGGCAGTTCCTTTCAGTTTTACCTTCCTAATTTACCAGTGAGGGAAGTAAAAGTTTGTCACGACTTCCTGAAACACATTAGGAATCCCTGCATGGGGGGGCAGGGGGGGGGGGGGCTGGGAGAGTCACCTTAGACCTCTTATTAAACTAAAAGCATGTTAATAATGTGCCGACTAGAGAGAACAGTGCTGACAAGTTTCTTAGTGAAAAAATGCACTAGACATAGTTTTAAGGCAATGGCTTAATCCCACGCTTTACAGTTTGTAACATCTGGCAGAGCAGTTAATGTAGTGCACGGTGTATGAGCAATTCTGCTGGTGAAGTCAGGGTACACGGGCATCACCAGGGATGTTTGCAAAGGGTCCCATCCAGCCCCATGAACACAGTTTCACAGAATCACTGAAGCATCTTGGTTGGAAAGGACCTCTTGGACTCCAACTCATCCAACCTTCTGCCAGAAGCAGGACCTGGTTATCCAGAGCCCTATCAGGCCAAGCCTTGAACATTTCCAGCAAAGGGGGACCTGCCTTTTCTCTGGGCAACCCTCACAATGTTAAATTGTTCTCATGGAGGAAGACTTTTTTTGTTCTATCTGGATTAAGTTTTCCCTAAAGAAACACGTGCCCGCTGCCTCCGCATCATGCAACCTTGTGGCGAGAGCGCATCCACCATCTCTCTACCTACACTTTAGGTATTGTAAGTGTGATTAGGAGTCCCCACCCTGAGCTTCCTCTTTTCTATAAACAAACTCAATGCCTTCAGCCTTTCTCCATACACCAAGTTCTCCAGCCCTCTGCAGTTATTTTGCACAAGTCAAAGCTCAGACACTAGTTGAACTGTTTGTTATTTGCAAATGCACATACTGTCTTTCCCGAGTGTTAGTTTTGTTCCCAATAGTCTGTACTCAGGTGAAAACAGCAGTGGAAGTACATACATTTTTTGGCTTCTTGCATAGTTGCTCCAGGGTTTTTTTATGATCAGGAAGGTTTGGCCACACAGCAGGTTTGATCCTGAAACAGCAACAGTAGACAAAAAGGGGTTCAACAGCAGCAGAAGAGGGACATGCTGAGATACCAGAGGTTCATATTGCATCGTTTGTACTAATTCTCAGAAAGCCTTAGGGCTGGCTTGCATTACCCAGAATAACAACAGAGAAGACTCAGAATAAACAATGACAGGAGAAGGGGAGTTATAAAGGTCACCAAATAGTCACTGTTCTTTTGAGCGCACAAAGTACCACAGTTAAAGGAAGACACTTCACCAAGTACTGGAAAAGCAGCAAATTATGCTGGCAAAGAGCTCATTTGCATCTAGCTGTGTTAACAGGGTTTTTGTATGGTGAAAACAATTTCTGCAAGTGAAAAAAGATGCTGTGGTTAAAGTGCAAATTTGCTGATATTTGCCTCTGCATATTTACATAAGTCAAAGAACTGCATGCTGTCCCACTCCTTGGCCAGCTATCTGTACTTCAGATATCTGTATTGTAGCCTTGTCCTGCAAGTCTCATTTTTACTGCCTTGATTCGCAAAGTTCTTGTGTTGTGCTGCTGGAAGCCGACGGCCATTATGAATCTAGAGAATATTGTCTGACTGACATTCAATGTTGCAGTGATATAAATATAGCTACAGACATGTATGAGTATATACTTCATTTTATATATAAGTCTGTATATGTGGTGTATATACACACATGCATGTCTAAAACCTCCTTCTTCTTAAAAAGGAAATCTCCGAGTTCAAAAAGTGTCAACATCCCCCACCAAAGCAGTCACAAAAGAAGTGGGACTGGAGATACATTCATTACACAGGCAGTCCTTTGTCTGCATTGGGTTTTTTTCATATATTGGCTACACAGCAGTAGACAGATAGCTGTAAATATATTTTTAAATATTTGGCTATATATGCTCATACAGAATCGATGGTTGACAAATTTAAGAAAATAAACAGATATGTAGATAACCTGGTGAAACCAGAATCTGAAGTGAAAAAGTCCCAAGTTTAACCATAGGAGATGAATGCCTCTCATGGCAGAAAGCCCAGGGCTGTTCGGTGGCATTCAGAGCAGCCCACCCATGACATCCAGCTTCACTAGCATCCAGACAGGTGGCTGCATGTGAGCTGCTTTTTGGGGACAACACCTGGGCTGTGCTAACTCCTAAATTATACATGGGGATTGTGCCTGGGAATGTGCTGGTTGGCCCCAGTCAAACCATGCCAAGAACCTTGCCTGGTCTCGCCACATGGCTGGCTGGATGTGGACCCGACTGGGCTGGTGGCCAACGCCATCAAGCCCTTGCTGCAGAGAGCTCTGTCCTGCTGCTTCTGAAAGTGCTGCAGAGCAAACACCCTGCTGACTCAGCCTATGAAAGGAAAAGAGGCAATCTCCTCGGTATAACGTTTCCACACCTCTTGGGACTTTACTAAACCCTGCAGCTCGCTTTCTTTTCTGGATCTTGCTTGAAGCTTTTGAGTCAAATTTGCCTCCAGTGAGACACCAACTCTGTAAGTGTTTCATGGTGACTTCAGTTCCCAGAGGTCCCAGTGTTTCGAGCACAAGACTGAAGTCTGCTCAAAGTGTCAGGTCATCTTCCTCTGCCAACACCCTTTCTTGTATTGCCCACTTTTAGTCTTTGTCTGCCTTTGTCTTGTTATAGAGGTCCAGAGGTGGAAAGAGAATAGTCCACAAATATAACAGGGAAAGCAATAAGACTGTCAGAACAAGGATTGTCTTCCAACATTTTTTTCTGATATGAAGAGACTTAGATTACCTGTTTTCCCAAAAAGTTATGATCAGGACAATCATGACAATGGACAGCATGAGTCCCAGGATGGAGAGTATAATCACTACCACGCTGCTATCTAAAGAAAAACAGAGAACATCAGCCAGTGCATCTAAATATCTCACTGTTAAGCCACTGTAATGGTAATGTCTCTTCAGACAGTAAATTAGGAAATAATTCCAAGCATTGCACTTGCCTAGCAGTGGACTGGTGGTGCAGTGGCGCATTTCTCCAGCCTCCCTGAAGGAGGAAAGAGGTAATCTGCCAGAGCATCAGCACTTGGCTGAGCTCCAAGCTGGGTTCCCAGGTTGGATTAAAGCAGCTCAAAGTCTGCTGTCACCTCCAGCACATTGAGGCCACCGCTCACTGCATCCTTACAGCAGCGCTGAAGTGACTTCGAACACATGTAATGCTGGGGTGCCCCTGTGGACTGAAGGGAACCCAAGGACCTGAAAAATTATTCATGTTTACAAGTGCAATGCTGAGCTTTCAGCCCATGTCATATTTGTGACTAAAGTGCCATGTTCGCACACAAACCCAGGGCCCTGAAATGGGTCATGTTTCACTGCTCTTTGTGCCTCACCTAAAACACTCAGTGCAAGCTGGTCCTTCCTCCTGCACACCAGCAAGCAGCAAGCAGGAGCAAGGCAGCCATCACCTCCCTCTGTACCCCCCTCATGCCCTTACAGCAGCTCTTGATCTGTTTCTATGGCCCTTGAGTGAGATTTAACTTCACCTGGAGCATCAGCCTCAGACCAGAGTGATGCAGCCCCTTTCTGGGTCATCTCCTCTGGGGCGCCCAGTGCCTGTGAGGGCTGACCCTGCTGTGGCCCTGGGCCCTTCCCTCCCCATGCTCTTGTCATTGCTGCCCCCAGGGCTGGCCAGGGAGCCAAGCACCCCTAGCTCTGCTTTCTTCCAGGTGGACCAAAGTGGTTTCTGCCCTTACAGTTCTCTGTGGAGTGCTGCTCCCTTGCAGTCCTGAAGCTCTTGGAAGCGCTCCATTCGCTCCACGTGCCCTTAAAATAATCTCCATTGGGCTGCGAACGTACTTTCACCTCATACGAAGCATCATTTTCAAGGTTTTTCCCCAGTAATTTTACCTGGAGATACGGCGACTCTATTGTCTAAATGCAAATAAAAAAAAAATCCAATTATTTTTCTAGAAGATGCTGGAAGAGTATATTTGAGTTTCAGGAAAATGTGCGAGATCAGGTGCATCCCTGCAGTACTGTGTTCTTTGCCCTCTGTCTTTGGTTATTATACAGGTGGTCAGCACAATTTCAGTCTAGTTTAACAGCCAGGTAGTCCAGACAGTATCAAGAAGAGAGACTAACGCTGGGTAAAGCTCTTTGGAAAACTGGAGGTGTTAACTGTGCTTTGCTACTTCGGACACTGCAGTGGGAAATATATGCTTTCCTGGGAAGGCTCAGGAAAAAGAGAGGGAAAAATACATTTATGCAGCACAAAAAGACAACTTTTCAAAGGAGGCCTACAGGAAAGGAGCTGAAATCCCACAGTGCAGCTCTCGTGCTCTTCATTTTAATGCATTTAGTTGCCTGAATTCTTTTCTTTTTCTAGTTACAGATCTGCTCCATAAATCCCTCTGTAAAATACAGGTCCGTGTTTTCAAACACCCCCCCATCTGGACTAGCGTTTGCACGGCTGCACTTGTGACAGGGGACACAGAGGTCCCAACAGATGGGCAGCCCAAACCAGACCCAGTTCACAGGCAGCTGCAGCCCAAAACACAGTCTGGGAATGCTGAAGGGCTGCACCCGAAGCCTGGAGGGGCTCAGCGGAAAAGGGACACAAAGAAACTTTTGCTAAATATGAAAAGGGGTCATACGATTTACTGACGGATTAGCACAGAAAATAAGAGGAAAACAACCATGGCAAAGAGCAAGCCATCCAAATGCTTGGTGGTTTGTTACGTCTTTTCCCACTGCAAAGCCCAAATGAACGAAACTTCATTAGCCCAGAGACATCAGTCTGGAATTGCCTCGACTGATGAAATTTCCAGATGCCAGATATTGCATCTTTCCAAGTTTTCAGTTGGACAACTACAGAAATGCAGATTTGAAGGTTTTTACTGGTATTTCTGATAATGTTTACTTTAGGAAATCAGTGTAAGCTCACCAATATATCATCACTTACTTTCCAAGTACCTTCTTCCTGCCGATAGGCTATTTGGTGTATCAATTTGTCCTTTAAGTATTTCTTCCACGAGTGTGGTGTACTATAATGAATAAGATACTCATTTGCCTCCTTTTGGTATGTGATGTTTAAATCGAATGGTACTTCAGGCTTAACTGCAAATGATAACAAACCAGGATATAACAGGAGTAGAACACTGTTACTACAAAATAAACAGGTTTTAAAAAGTAAAAAAAACCAGCCCACTTCAAGTTACACCCCTGCAGAGTGACCTATCTTGAGCGAGGGCTGGCCCAAGCTGGGTGAGCCTCATGCTGAGCCCCAGCTCATCCTTGCACCTTGGTCCTGAGAGGAGTTTAGTTTTGACCTGCTGGAGCAGCACTGTGGCCAGCAGGGACGGCACTTCCTAGGGATGTGACATTTAGTCTTGGAAAGCAATTGCTGAGCGTGCCCGTCGCTGCAGTAGCACTGCTTGAAGACATGAATTTCAGTCCTTCTAACATGTGCTGCAAGACAGAGCCCCCATAGCAAAACCCATCGCTGCTCTGGGAGGAAGGCACTGGGGAGCAAACTGGGTATGGGCACAACTGCCAGTGGCCGTCAGGGCGGTGGGACAGAGGAAGGGACAAAGTATGGCAGTGTTAGGTATAGCAGCGGGGGCTGTGGCTCCAGGCCCTTGCTATGAACCCACACCTGACCTGGTCTGCAGGAGACTGTGCCAAATGACCACCTGTGCAAGTACATTAAGTCCAAAATGCAGCCCTCAGGACTCCCCCCAAGCTGTGCCTGAGCTGGATGGGCCTGAGGTCTGCAGGGAGCTGTGTCTGCACCACTGAGGCTTCCTGAACACGCCATTGGTGTCACAGGAACACAGAGCCCTCACCTCTCTCCTCTCAGGAGGGGCATATAGCCAGAAATTGTGCCCACTCCTTCTGCAACCCCCAAATGCTCAATCCTTCCATGCAGAAGCTGCAGTTTCTGGAGGGGAGACCATCAGTGATGGTCCAGGCTGGCCCATAAACTGAGAGGTAATGTAAAACAGTTACAAAACTATTGGACTGCGGCAGAAATGTTTCATAACAGAGGGATGTCACAGTGCCTATTACCAGAGAAAGGCAAAGCAATGTGGCAACGGAGCAGAACAGAGCTGCCCTACATGGGCTTCTCTGCAGCCCTGGAATGAGGCCAGCTCCCAGGAGGGATAAGTCCTAAGAAGCCCTTCTTCTCCTGAGTTCCTATCTTGTGGCTCAGGCAGGTCCCCAAAGTGGCTTTGACAAGGCTATTTATGGGCAATCAGTGTCTCTTCTGCGCTGCAGGATGGCTGAACACCTCGTTCAGACAACGGGCTCCACCAAGAAGCAAGGTGTGAAAAACTGAGATCTTGCAGCCTTGCGGTCCCTGTGATACTGAGCTCATGCTCGGTCAGTCCTGAAACTGTACAATCCCTTGTGACAGATGAACAAAATGCCCCTGCTTGACAATTTGTCCACGCTCAGGAACAGCTCCTTCGCCCATAGCATGTTCAGTCTACATCCAGGTCTGGACAGAGTGGTTCCATGAGACAGTGTTCAGCTGCACATTTTTGAATGGAGGTTAATCGTGTTTGGCTTTGAAGCAAGGGGAATGCCATGCTCTGCCAATACCCAGGCTACATGCCCTGTTAGGACACTGTTTTACACTGCCTCTGTGTCATCTGGATTGATGATTTGTGGTGGACTATTTTTTCCCCAGTAAGCCCCATATCTTAAAAATGTCCAAAATGTTAAGTGTCTTACCAATGTCAGTTACAACCAGACTCCGGCAGACCCTTCTCTTCATCTCAGAGTCCATGCAAATGTCTTTATTTGAGAGTATATCAGTGAATTGTAAGAAATACGCATCTTCCTGTTTCTCCATGTTGAAGCACAAGTAATTGCTGTCTTCTTTGGTACTGTTGACCAAAGTGTCACAATGTTAATTTCTTCTCAGTCTTAATATAACATAGTAAGGGACAAATCCTGGTTGCTCATTTCGCCTTAACTGAAGTAAGACTCCATGTGAAGTAAGAAAAACATGCCGCGCAAATAAGGAGTTTAAAAGATCAGTAGTGTTTTTCCTCATGGTCTCTGAGCACAATAATGAAGTGATCTGATATACAGTAAGAGTTCTGGAAGCTTTCCAAGAAAAAATTGCAATTATTAAATTGGAGATGTATGTATTAAAAACCTTTCTATCTTTAAAAATTATCTTACTGCTGCCATTTTTAAATATAGGGCAATAGGTTTGGATGCTCACTGAAAATAAAGAGAAATTTCTTATTGACTGAAGTGGTAGCAAATACAAGGTCAATAGTCAGCCAGGCCATGAAGGAGTCATGTGGCGCAGTTTCAGAGGTGGAAATATATCCGTGTGTTCCTCCATCTGTGTGACTCCTGTGTTTGAGGACCGTCACAAAATTTCAGTTAAAATCCAGAATAAATCCCATGAAAATAGAAAAATTCTAACAAACTAGGTGGAAAAAAATAAGTAGCAATTAGAATAGCAAGAAAAAAAAAAATCCACTTCTTTTGCTGGCTGCGACAGAACTTTCAGTTTCAGGAAAAACAGGCAAAGGGAAAAGCAGAAGTATGCTAAGGAAACAAAATCTGAGCTTCGTCAGCTGGGTGCATCAGATAAAAAAAAGGTGGAAAAGAGTTTCAAGGCCTTGATGAGAAGTGGAAGTGACTGACGTGTTTGCTAGCTGTTGGGTTTTTGTATACTCATTCTAGTGTCTTTTTTGCGTGTCTGTGTGTGTGAAGACAATTGCTTAATTTTTGTCTGGACCTAGATAAAGGCATTTTCCCTGCAGTGGAAAATCAGCCTTCTGGGCAAAGAATTTTCTGTGGAAAGGACCTGCCTCTTGAAAAACATTTTTACTTTTCACTCGATGAAGGCTAAGTTTGGGTTTTTTAAAACATTGTTTAATTTAAAGGAAAAACGGTCTCTGTTCATGCTGGTCTACATCCGGAGTTACAGGTGTTCCAGAGCAACAGAGGCAAGATCAGGACTATTCAAGATGTTATAATGTCCTTTACAGACCCTTCCAGCTGACTTTTTTTCTCATTAGGGAGTTATGTTCTGTTTCAGTAACTCTTCTTCTTTGCTGAATATAGTATTTAAACTTGGAAAAACTCTCTGAAACAGAATTTTGTCTAGCTTTGCCACTCCCGTTTCCCAGCACATGGCAGCGTGACTCACTGGTGCTTAGCATTTCGCTTCCTAGAAGTTTACCAAAGGATGGACTGACAGCACTTACCACAGGGCCAGTGTGTAGTTAGTGTTGTGAGGAGGCAGCTCGGTAAAATTGCAGGTCAGGCTGCTATAGGAATCCTTAAATTCCAGCTGGCTGAAGCAGTCGATTTCAAAATTGTCAGGTTCATCATCTCCAAAAGTCCCTAAGGAGAGATTCGCAGGATGTTACTCAAGCAAACCTGTGAGTGTATTTGATTTGCAGCTCCATTGTATAGCAGGTTGTTTCTTTATGTGGTTGCCTGAAAGGAAGAGGATCGACCCACCTGTTTTGTAAGAAGCAAAGAAAACTTGTTCAAAATGAAATTAAAAGCCACTTGCACCTTTCAAGATTGCTCTCCCTGCATGCCAGCGAAGCCCACCCACTTACCACACACGAAGGTACATTCTGCATCATCGGTCTGTGAACTATAAAAAGACATAGTGTCGCAGATAGTTTGGTCAGACAAGGCACACTACGTCTGTTCTTTTCTATTAAACATGGGCAAAGACGGGCGCTGATGTCGACCTGGAAACCTCTGTGAAAAAGTCCCAGTATCAAGCGCAAAACAGAGAAAACATATCATCTAGTCTGCAGTTTAATTCCTCCTAACTTTGAGCCAGGGACAGGAAAATTGTTTTAAAAGTTACAGATAATCTTTATACCAAGATAAAAGCCAGACCTACTCCACCTGAAAATCATCTCAGAACTTTCTCAAACAGGTTTACCTATCAGGAACAACAAAACGCTGCTATCCTCAGGCTTATGAAAGGGAGCAAGACATGTTAATGATGCCTGTTGAAAAGCAGAATATGCAAGTCAAGGTCCAAAATGGTCTTGAAAATAAATGGAACAGAAACATGCAATGCGGGATATAGTCCACACGGTTACTGCCAGATATCTGACGCTGATGCTTGAGGCTAACGTCTCTTCAAAAGTGAGGGCCAGTTTCAACAGGAGTTATTTGTATGGGAATTTCAGCTCAGCACACCCTGAGAGTATGTCAAACACCTTGTAGCTCTGAAGCAGCAGACCCACAGCCAAGGATGCACACTCGGCCGTTGCCATTGCTGCACCTGCATCAGGACCAGCCCCGTGCTGCTGACGGCTGAGAGCACCCGAGCAGCATCCTGCTGCCCCTGCTCTGCCCCTGCCCGTGCTGTGAAGGTCTGGCCTGTCACCAGGTTCTTGAGAAGACTGGAAAATGATATGGGTGGTTTTAGGAAAGCAAGAGTATTTTGGTGTCATGAGACAATTAAGCTCCATTTTGATTGTACTGCAAAATTTTCTGAAATGTCACAAATTTGGGCTCAGGAGGGAAAGCTCAGACTTTCGGCCAGAATGCGTGGCTTCCTGCAAATTTGCTTCAATGACTAATAAAACAATCGCGATTTGACTAAGAGCATATGTCTCAAGTCATACACTTGGCAGGTATGAGGTCAGTGAAGCAAAAACTGGTGCTTCTGAGACGAGTTCTCTCTGGCGGAAGCTGCCAGTTCAGCCTCATTTCATGAAATCTCACCCACCGTAGCCGAGCAGACGGGGAAAAGGTTATTGCCATTATCCCTTGAGCGGATCCTCGGGAATGCCTCTGTCTCCTTTTACCTGTCGTTAAGGGTAGCTGTGATGATACGTAATCCTCTTCCCTGTGTCCAAGGACCCGATCCCCTGCTTGGTCCTCTCTTACTCACTCCTCAGACATGCCCTTGCCATGTGGGGCACCGGCCTCAGCAAGAACAAGTCCTTGGGATATCAGTGACTCATGCTCACAAATAGTGCAGGGAAATGCCCATGGAAATATTTGCAATGGAAAAAACTTCCCAGAGAAAACGACGGTCATCTCTGCTGTCTCCCAGGTGAATCAGGTCGCTAGGGGGTGACCAGCTACTTGGATACTGTGATTCACAGTCCTGCCCGTGATGTCCTACGATCCCTGAGCAATCCGGCCGGCATACAGGGAGATCCAGACCTTGTCTGGCATGGGAGCACATCTGAAGATTGAAAATGGTCATGGTTTAACAGCAGGGAGAAAGCAGGGGAGAGTTTTTTGATTGCTTTAAAATGTAAGCAAAGAGCATCACCTGACGGGGTGACTATCAGCAGTGCTTCCTCCTGACCTTGGAGCTGAGGGGCATCTGGAGTTGGGTTTTAAGTAAGAGAAGAAATTCAGAATTCAGTCAGGAAAGCAGAGAAAAATGCAAAAGCAGTGTGGGCAGGGGCTAGGACGGGTGTTGCTGCCACCAGCACCCGTGGTGGGCAGCAGGAGGGACAGGAGCGTCTGGTGCTGCTCTAATCCAGAACCCAGAGGCAGGTCTATCCCCCGAGCTAAGGTTTAGTGGCCATTTGCCTCCATGAGCACATGGTGTTAAGAAGGAATTACTGGTCTTCCCTCCACACTGCAGCGCTGGTGGGGTCTGTCCCAAGGGCAGCCCAGCTCTCCCTGACGGGCAATGAAATGCGATGTCTTCCACTGGCAGTGCTGCTTTGAGGGGTAACCCATGGAGCAGAGACATGGACAAAGCGGGCGCTGTACAAAGATACTCTATTTGGCCGTCGTGTTTGGGAGAGGTCACGGGGGTCAGCGCAAACCTCCAGGAAGCCCTGCAGCCGTTTCACACAGGTGAGAGCCTTGGCCAGCGCAGCCCTGAGCCAACCCGACAGATACACATGAATGGAAATGTATATTACATCAAGTTTAGTGTTTATATTATGTATTTGTGGGTAAAAGTATGTGCATATAGATACACATATATTCACAATTCAGGAGATAACAAGCAAGCTGAAATGAATCCTCATAAAATGGAAACCCCCTGTGTTTTATATAGATACATACACTCAAAGCTCACATGCACAGATACGTGACATTTTATGCTTCTCTAAGACTTTACTTGCAACCACCGGGAGACTGGCTTATTATTATATACTCATAGCTACCTCAAGATAACAGTAAAATTTATGAATTATGATGAAGGATCTTCCTTTTATGAGACAAAGAGGCTGCTTGGTGCTCTCTGTATCTGCAAACTACATATACCAGATTTTGCATAAACACACAAAACTGATCATCATCATATTAAAAAATGGTGTATCAAGTCTTCCAGCTGTCCACTACTGCTTTCCTGAAAAATGACAGAAATTTTAATTAATTCTCTATCAGGCTGACTGCAAAATGAAAGGAAAGAAGAAGGTTTTGCCTTGCAGTTCAAACAGCCATTTAATGTTTAACCAGCATGGTGCACCTTTGGTGCTGCACTGGAAGGAAAGCTGACTTTACCTCTTTGACACTGAACTTTCACATTGTGATTATGTGGTTCCTTACTCATGGAAATAACTTCCTAAGTGTAGAATATATGATAATTTAACTTCATGAATGATGTTAAGGAAGCAATTTGAAAAGCTTTTTCTGGTACGGTTCCTCCATGGGCTGACAGAATTTTTTTTGTCTGACATAAATATGCATGTAGCCTCAGTTACACTTCTTCCCTAAACCTCAGAATCACCACACAAATCTGTTTGCTACGTAAATAGTTTTGATGACTCCAGTATGACTCACGCTGCTAAGGACACTTTACACAATTGAAAGTTTACAAGATTATAATTTTTTCCTTGAGAAGCCCAGACCATGCAGAACTCTGAGCCTGGCTCTGCTCAAATCATGTCAGGGCTTGAGATGGGGCAATTCTAGTGGGAGAGAAACCACTCTTGTAGCTACAGTCATGGCAGGTCCTTCACAGAAATGGTTGTGTCTTGGGTTTGGACAACCCAGCAGGACAGTTCAAACCACAGCAG